ACATGATAAAATCTCAAACAAGGATAGCAATAAGAAAAAAAAAGAAAAAGAGAAAAACTAAAGTTAAACACCTAGGCTTAACAATGTTAATTCCTATGAAAGTATAACCCTAGTTGTAACCCGAGTTATAACCACACCCGATCTTTAGACATCCACCCTTGTGTGCCATGCATGATATACGAGAGGACGATTCCATTTGTCATGATTAACTCGGCAGAAGTATGCCTGCAGTTTTTACTTTCGGCAGCAGATTGGCTTCCAATCAATGTGAGTCTGTGAGACCCAGTCTATTCTGCTATTTAACCAATAGCTGGCTGTCGAAGAGATGGATCCATTCTTTTCCAAAGTGCATTTGTGCGAAAGTTAATGTAACGAACTCAACGAGAATTCAAACTCGGCTCTCCGATTTCTCATTCTGAGCAGTTATCCATCGCACCACATGTTCATCCATGTAGATAAATTGATAGATAATTTAATGTGTTTTCAAATCATTTAAATTAGTAACGCTTTGGAATGCATCGATTAATGCTGCATATTACTTCTGTATCGCCTACCTTTACCAGACTCACTTTTCTGTCTGTAATTAAATCAGTGACTAGATGATAAAGGTGTTGTTTTTTATCAATTTGGTTTTGCTTTATTTTGGTTTGTTTTACTGTATATTAAACTCTATGGATTATTTAATGTCGACAAGATTTTTATTGCTTTTAATATTTTCTTTCTTCAAAAATGTATTGCTGGTAATTTCATTTTGTTCAAAATGTATTGCTGGTAATATATTATTTCTTCAAAAATGTAAAACTGGTAATATTTTTTCTTCAAAAATGTATTGCTGGTAATTTGTTTTCTTCAAAATTGTATTGCTGGTAATATTTTCTTTATTTAAAAATGTATTGCTGGTAAAATTTTCTTTCTTTAAGCTTGTATTGCTGGTAATATATTCTTTCTTCAAAAATGTAAATCTGGTAATATTTTTTCTTCAAAAATTTATTTCTGATAATTTGTTTTTTTCAAAATTGTATTGCTGGTAATATATTCTTTCTTCAAAAATGTATTGCAGGTAATGATTTTATTCTTCAAAAACGTATTGCTTGTAATATTTTCTTTCTTCAACCATGTATTGCTGGTAAAATTTTCTTTATTTAAAAATGTATTACTGGTTATATTTTCTTTCTTCAAAAATTTATTGCCTGTAATGTTTTTGTCTTCAAAAACGTATTGCTGGTAATTTTTCTTTAAAATTTTATTGCTGGTAATATTTTCTTTATTCAAAAATGTATTGTTGGTAATAATTTCATTCTCCAAAAATATATTGGTGGTAATTTTTTTCTTAAAAATGTATTTCTGATAATTTTTTCTTCAAAAATGTATTGCTGGTAATTTTGTTTCTTCAAAGACATATTGTTGGTTATATTTTCTTTCTTCAAAAATGTATTGCTGGTAATTTTTTTTTCTCCGAAAATATATTGCTGGTAATAATGTATTTCTGGTAATAAATGTTCTTCAAAAAAAACCTTTGCAGGTAATAATGTTTTCACAAAAAATGTATTGCTTGTATTAAAACTTATTTCCGCCCTTTTGTCCCCAGTTTGCGGGTTAACTATTTACCCATAGTCTGGATAGACCTGGAAACACCAGCAATTAATATGTGGTTCTACTTTCCTCAAAACCTCCGTTGCTGTTAGATGTGGTTTATCATCTTACTCAAGACGTTTTTTTTTATCGACATTCTATAAAGCTTGCCATATTATCAGGATCGGCATTCACCATACAGAATTAGAAATAAGGGATAAAGGCACTGGGCAAGTTTCAGTGTCTCATTCTTGGTTCCGTGTTTGCATTCTTGATATCACGAATTCTTCTTCTCTTCAGCTTATTTGATTTTTGTCATTTTTGCTATTTTTTGTTTCTTATTTCTAAATCTAGCGTTGCTTTTCCCGTCAAATCCTGTTTTTTTTTATTTCGATTTCAGATTCTGATTTCTCTTTCCAAATCTGGAATGCCTTTCAATCTTTATTGTGGTATTTTTATCTTGATATTTCCATCATTTCCTTCTAAAGGCTTAGTGACAGTTTGTGCTTGCACCATTTTTCACCGTGTAAGCCGTAAAATGACTAGGTTTATTTCCTTTCTCATGTCTATCACCCTTCGGGGTGTGGGTAACCGTTATACTCCTCGGTTTAGTGTCGATTACTATCTGTGAATTCTTTGGCATTATTGGATAAGGTTATTGTTGCGACCAAGTAAATGGTTAAAGAAATAACAAAACAAGTGTTGCAGATATATCATATATTAAACAATAAGTACAACAGAAGAGTATTACCCGACTAGTGAGTGTATGTCGGTTGACCCAGCGTTCAATCTATTCGACTGTTAATATTTAGAACCCCACCACAAGGCTGAGTTTAAGGTAGGCTCGACCAAAACAAAAAACCTCCGTAGAACCCGCATAAACGGGTTCGAGTCTGTCAACTTTCCCGGACGAGACTCTGCCATTCGGCACAGACTCGTCCGGGTTCCTCTCTGCCTTTGGGCAGAGAGTTCGACAGCAGCTGCGAACTGTCACAGCCCAGTAGAGCAATCTATTAGACTGTTATATTTAATACCCCCCCCCACGCGGGATATAGGTTCGGCCAAAAATATTCCCTTAGAACCCGTATAAACGGGTTCAGGGTCTGTCTACATCCCCGCACGAAACTTTGCCCTTCGGCAAACCCTCGTGCGGGCTCCTCTCTGCTCGAGGCAGAGAGTTGGACAGATGAATAATCTGGTTGACTGTTAATATTTAAGAGACCCCCCTCCCAACGAGGTTGTATGTTGCACAAGGCCGGTTTATTGTGAGTACTCTGAACCCGTAGGCTCGGCCAAAAATATTCCCTTAGAACACGCATAAACGGGTTCAGGGCCTGTCTACCTCCCCGGACGAAACTTTGCCCTTCGGCACAGACCTCGTCCGGGTTCCTCTATGCTCAAGGCAGAGAGTTTGACAGTTCGAACAATCTATGCGACTGTTCCCACAAGGCCTTCTCTCCTACTAATCTTATAATAGTCGGTAGTGTCCAACATAGACTCTTTAGAATTGAGGACACCACAACAGCTATACAATGGTTTCTCCTTTGCTTCTCCAGAAATGTCGTGTCCTTTCAGAACATAAACAAGAATTATTTCAGTGATTCGTTTACTGTATGAGCTGTGAATCTCCACGCGGAAAGATTATATAGAAACTTCTCGTTGGCTTCTCCAGAAATTCCATATTTTCTCAGAAGAAATACCATAGATTCATTTTATTTAGTTTTTCTGAATTTCTACGTGTACTTTGTAGAGATTACATAGATTTTCTCTTTGGCTTATCCAGAATTGTCATGTCCTTTCAGAAAATGGACCAGCATGATTCCATCGATTCGGTTTACTTACAGTTTAGATCCATTACATTTACTTACGTGATAAAACCCTTGGGAAAGGTATGAATCCTCTTCTTCACTCCCAGCTATGGGTAAAAAGCAGGACAGATCAGAAACAACAGACAAGGTACATAGCAGGACATATCAGGAAAAACAAAGTACATAGCCGGACTGATGAGAAACAACAGACAAGGTACATAGCAGGACAGATCAGAAATAACAGACATGGTACATAGCATCAAAGATCAGAAACAGCAGACACGGTACATAGCAGAACAGATCACAAACATCAGACAAGGTACATATCAGGACAGATCACTAACAACAGACATGGTACATAGTATCAAAGATCAGAAACAGCAGTCCATGGTACATAACAGAACAGATCAGAAACAACAGACAAGGTACATATCAGGACAAATCACAAACATCAGACAAGGTACATAGCAGGACAGATCAGAAACAACAGACAAGGTGGATAGATTAAAACAACGAATATTCTACGATTAAGGTTTTTATTTAATTTTTCATGTGTTCGAACAAGTGCTTTCTTTTCTGGACATGGAATGTCTATAAACTGTCCAAATGTTCTATATTTCTGAGCGCTTTCGGCTATACTTTTAGCCATTATCAAGGATGATTTTATTTTTTCAATTTAAATGGGTGTGTGAATTGTGCGTATGTATTTACTTTTATATAATTGGTTTATTTTCTGAACGCAGCACATTGTGGCCTTGTTCGCAGTTAATATTGTTAAGTGTTGCCTTTAAAACATGTCCACAACATACATACATACATACATACATATATATATATATATATATATATATATATATATATATATATATATATATATATATATATATTTGAGGGTCGACATGTGTGCTTATTTTCTTTCGAGACATCTGTTGGAACATGTCTAACACTGATAATTTAATGTAATGGATTATATTTAATGCTTCGGCACGCACACACGCACACACACAAGACATACACACACACACATATATATATGTGCAAAAAAAAAAAAAGATAACAAAATGCAACACTAACTGTTGGAGCTTGATCGTCAGATTCACCTGCTGATCTACAGCTGCTCTCCCACGATGAGATCAAAGTAATAATTCTAGTTCCATGGTTCACCATGCGTACCTGGCTTTTGAATCGAGCTGCAATAATTCTCCTTTCTACTCGCTAAATCCATTTAGTGCTTTTCTCTTCTGTCATCTCGTTGCGGTATATTCACTCTTGACTCAACGCACTAGCTTGCCAAATATTCTCATTTCTCTTTACCCTTCTGTCCTCATCGGTCAGGAATCTATATATATATATATATATATACACACACACACACACAACAAATATATATATATATATATATATATATATATATATATATATAGAGAGAGAGAGAGAGAGAGAGACATATAAACATATATATATATATATATATATATATATATATATACACAAATATATATATATATATATATATATATATATATATATATATATATATATATATTTAATTTGTACTTCATACAGTTTTTTTTCTTTTTCAGTTGGTTAAATGAATTTCTTAATGACTGTATATGTTAGTATTGTCTTATCTATCTATCTATCTATCTATCTATCATATCATTATCATCTATCTATCTATCCTTTTATTATATATCTATTATCTATCTATCTATCTATTCATTATCTATCTCTATCCTTTCTTTTATTCATATCTATTCTTCATCTATCTATCTATCTATCTATCTATCGATTCGACTGTTCTTATCTATCTATCTATCTATATATCTATCTTTATCTCTTTATTCATATCTATCTATCTATCTATCTATCTATCTATCTATTCGACTGTTCTTATCTATCTATCTATCTATTTATCCTTTTCTCTTTATTCATATCTATCTATATATCTATCTATCTATCTATCTATCTATCTATCTATCTATCTATCTATCTATCTATCCTTTTCTCTTTATTCATATCTATCTATATATCCTTTTCTCTTTATTCATATCTGTCTATCTATCAATATATCTATCTATTCGACTGTTCTTATCTATCTATCTATCTATCTATCTATCTATCTATCTATCTATCTATCTATCTATCTATCCGACTGTTCATATCTATCTATCTATCTATCTATCTATCTATCTATCTATCTATCTATCTATCTATCTATCTACTTCCAAATATATATACACGTAGTCCTTCAGATTTTTTTTCTTTCGCCATTCATATTATAATAAACATGAGCTTAAACCAACAATTTCTTTCTTTAAATTACATTTTCTACTTTTATTTATTCATATATTTTCATTTATTTTTTTCTTCTTGAACTATTTTTTAATCTCCAATAACCCGTGAGTTTTATTTACTTTTCCTCCTCAAATCTGTAGAGAAATTTGGTCGAATACCACAAGCCTTTGAACTCATCTAACTCCTTTCTCTCTCACCCGATGCATGTGAAAAATACAAGGTCGCTACGTTATGTTGCACCTTTACGTAATTTTCGAGAATCTCCAATGGGATCCAACCAATCCAGTTAATTATATTTGCTATTTTTTGTGCGAATGAAAAACCTGGAGAATTGTTAAGAAGAATTAGGAGAAAGTTTAGATAGTGAATTTAAAGGAAATGTTAGTGAAATGTTTCATGGAGAGAGATTGTAATGAATGAAGAAAAAAAATAAGTGGGATATCCTTTTTGATCTCTATGGAAATGAGAACGAACTAAGTTAGATGAACAAGAAGAAATTTTAGAAAGAAAGGAAGAAGATTAGAAAAGATTGAAGTATGAAGAAAAGTGCATTAATATTGAGATTAAAAATTAAATAGCTACTAGAAGAAGTGAAAAAATTTTGCGTAGCACAAGTAGAAATTTCAAAATGAAAAGAAAGACGAGGAGAAATCAGGAGATGAGATAATGAACAAATGAAAATAGGGAATATGGACAAAGTGAAAGAAATGTATAGATATCGGAAGGAAAGAAAGAAAGAAGGAAATGAATAAATAAAGAAATAAAAAAGAAAGAAAGAAAGAAGAAAAGAAAGAACGAACGAAACCAAACAAACAAGCATGAAATAAAGAAAGAAAGGACGAAACCAAGCAAGCAATCAAGCAATCAAGCAAGAAAGAAAGAAAGAAAGAAAGAAAAGAAAGAAAGAAACAAATGAAAAGAAATGAAAGAAAAAAAAAGGAAAAGAAAAAAATAAGGTTGAAAGACAGAAAAGAAAAAAAAAAAAGAAAGAAAGAAACCAAAAAGAAAAACAAGAAAGAAATAAACAAAAAAAAGAAAACTTAAAGAAAGAAAAACAGAAAAAATGAGCAATTAATGAAGGAAAATGGACAAATAAGAAAAACAAAGAAAAGAAAGAAAGAAAGAAAGAAAGAAGAACGGAGGAAAAAGAAAGAAAAAAGAAAGAAAATGTAATGAACAAATGATTCGAAACAAAGAAAAGGAAAAAATAAAAAATGAAAGGAATGAAGGAAGGAAAAAGGGCGAAAGAAAGAAAGAAAGAAAAAAGAAAGAACGAGAAAGAAAGAAAAAAAAAACACAAAAAAAAAAAAAAAACAAAAAGAAAGAAAATAGGAAAAAAAAGAAAAATGAAGATAATCTAATGAAACAAAAAGGAAAAATAATTTATAAAAAAAAAGAAATATAAAGAAAAAAGAAAAAGAAAAAGAAAGGAAAGGAATGAAAAAGAAAGAAAGAAAGAAAGAAAGAAAAAAAGAAAGAAAAAAAAAGAAAGAAAAGAAAAGGAAAAAAAAAAACTGAAAGAAAGAAAGAAAGAAAGAAAGGAATGAAGGAAGGAACGAAAAACGAAAGAAAGAAAGAAAGAAAGAAAGAAAGAAAGAAATAAAGAAAGAAAGAAAGAAAGAAAGAAAGAAAGAAAGAAAGAAAGAAAGAAAGAAAGAAAGAAAGAAAGAAAGTATAAAAAGGAGAAATAAGATGATGATCTAATGAAACAAAGAAAAACAGGGATTGTGGAGAAGAAAGAAAGAAAGAAAGAAAGAAAGAAAGAAAGAAAGAAAGAAAGGAAAAAAGAAAAGGAATGAAGAAAGAAAGAAAAGAAAAGAAAGAAAGAAAGAAAGAAAGAAAGAAAGAAAGAAAAGAAAAAGAAAGGAAAAAAGGAAGGAAAGAAAGAAAGAAAGAAAAGAAAGAAAGAAAAGAAAGAAAATTATGAAGGAAGGAAAAGAAAGAAAGAAAGAAAGAAAGAAAGAAAGAAAGAAAGAAAGAAAGGAATGAAGGAAGGAACGAAGGGCGAAAGAAAGAAAGAAAGAAAGAAAGAAAGAAAGAAAGGAATGAAGGAAGGAACGAAGGGCGAAAGAAAGAAAGAAAGAAAGTATAAAAAGAAGAAATAGGAAGATGATCTAATGAAACAAAGAAAAACAGGGATTATGGAGAAGAAAGAAAGAAAGAAAGAAAGAAAGAAAGAAAGAAAGAAAGAAAAAAAGAAAGAAAGAACAGTAGGAAGTAAAAAAGCCACGAAGGAAAAGGAAAAACAAGGATATAAAGAATTGGGAGAAATAAGAAAGAATGCAGGACTAAAGGAAAAGATGCGGATGGAAAGAAAGAAAGAAAGAAAGAAAGAAAGAAAGAAAGAAAGGACATAAGAAAAGAAAGGAAGAATAAGAAAAATATGAAGATCAAGTAATGAACAATGAAAATAAGGAAAATGAACAAAAGAAATGCCGAAAGGAAGAAAAGACAAAATTATAAAGAGAAATAGCATAGTGATTTGATGTAACCAAGAAAAACGGAATATAGGCAAATGAGCAGGGAAATAAAAAAGACAGGAAAGAAAGACGAAAGAAAGAAAAGAAAATAATGATGAAGAGAAGAAATAGGTAGATGAACTAACGAATTAAAGAAAAACATGGGATATAGAAAAAATACGGAAGAAAAATATGAAAGTTTGAAAGAAAAAGAAAGAAATGAGAGAAGAAAAAAAAAAAAAAAGGATGAAGACGAAAAATAATTAAATAAAAAAATAGACAAAAACATAAATAAATTTCACAAATAAAAATACGTATGAATAAATTTAATTTAATGAATTATACAATAATCTATAATAAATAAATATAAAAATATGCTGTAAATAAATAAAAATATTAGTAATATATATATATATATAAATACAAATAAAATAAATAATATAATATATATAAATATAAATAAAATAAGAACAAAATACATGTAAAAATAAAGTAAAAAATAAAAATGTAATCTATAAAAATACAAAATGTATGCAATAGACTAAAGCAGAGAGAAATTAATATATTGAATTAGAATTAGAGAGGAAAGGCACTGAGGGAAAGTCCGATTGTTTGGAATTGGTTGATGGCAATAAAAGAACAGGGAAATAAAAAAGACAGGAAAGAAAGAATTCAAGAAAGGTTCAAGGTCAATATCAGTTTGCATTGTTGAAAAATTCTGATTGATTAAAACATTTTGTGAAACGTTATAATTTAATATTTGCGTCTTCATGTGACACTATGAGAAAAAATAGGTAAGTGGCACATATTCAAAGAATTTTTTTTAATGTTATCATGTTAGTGTCATAATCAGAATCTTTCAATGTAGTAAACATCAAAATTCTGGATTTGTTATGAAAATGGATTGAGTGGAAGTGAAAGAAAAGCTGAGTCAGTATAGCTTGAGTGAAGCTTTATTCTACTAGGGATCTATTCCGGTAGCGAACCGTAACAGAAAAATGGCCGACTACCTCATGGAGAGAGGAAGACAAAACAAAGGGAAATCATTCAGTCCTGGAAAGATTAAAGAGTTCTTCTATTTTCACCACAGGATTAAAAAAAAGATTAGGCGTAGAAGGATTATGAACTTTCGACAGTTTATACTCTCGAGAAAATTTGAATCCCATCAAAAGAAGCAAAGCCTTTACCTTAAGTTGCAAAAGAAGATTCCTTTCAGCGACGTAACGTGACCATCGAATAAACTTCATCATCATCAAAATTGTTTCAATTTGAGGTCATGTATTAACATGTTCTTTCATCTTCAATGACATTGTACTGTTATTCGAGAATATTTTTCCAGCCTTCTCTGTCCTCTGCGAATTACGGATTAGTAGATCTTCCTTGATTGTAAAATTCTACAAAGGAAAAAGTAGGATATTTCTGCCGTGTTCTTTGGATGTCTCGGTTCAGCGTTGTGGCTATGGTGGTTCTTGGATGACCTTTGAACTTTCTGAAATCAGTTTTGTTAGCTGGGCTAGATCCAATCACAAGAAGTTTCCATCTTGACTTAAGTGATTTTATTTAGCAACTTGTATTTTTAAACAGAAGCTATGAGGTGGGAAAATATCGTTAAGTTTTTGAATTTTAAATTTAAGGACGCTCTCTAAATATTCTTAAAGCCAACTATCAAATGAAAAGTAGACTATATATATAGTGATATAATTGTGGAACTGCCTTCTGTTTACTTGCATAAACTGTTCTTTGCCAACACGTTTCGTCCTCTGTGGAACTTTATCAAAGTAAATGAAAAACAAAAATTCCCAGTGAGAAAGTCTGGCCCTTGTTCCATTCAATGCTAAATCGAATTGAGGTAATTATTTGAGGCAAAGGCAGCATTACGAATTGCTAACTTCATATTTTGACTATTTCTATTTTCTTTTATAATAAAGATGACTTTTACCAAAAACAACAACAAAATCAAACATCCTCCTCCTCCTCCTCCTCCTCCTCCATCATCATCATCATCATCATCATCATCATCATCATCATCATCATCATCATCACAAAACTGTTTCGATTTGAGATCATTTATTTACATGTTCTCTCATCTTCAGTGACATTCTTTGCTATATTATTCTGCCAACCTTCTCTGTCTTCTGCGAGTTTGTAGATTTTTTGCAGATCTTCCTTGATTGTAAACTTCTCCAAAGGAAAGGTGGGATCTTTTTGCCTTGCTTTTTCAATGTCTGGGTTCAGTTTTGTGACTATGCGGGGTGGGGTTCTTAGATGACCTCTTAATTTTTTGATGTCAGTCTTTTCAAAGTAAAACTCCGTATCCCTATAAAAATGTAATCAAATCAACATGCAAAGAACCAACAAATATAATATCTAGTAGACACGCACACACACCTACTAATACATATTGTCATATGAATGCCACATAAACACACTAGAATACACTTACATACAGAAATCAATAATTGCAGTTGGGTTTGGAATTCGTTGATTTCTTATAACTTCGAATGGACGTGTCGTCTCTCCTTGAATTC